GCAGGAGCGCGCTCGCCGGCGACCTCCTCCTCCGGCCAGCTCCCGCCGCCGACGACACCCTCCCCTTCTCTTGCGTCGCTGGCCGGCCCTGCCGGCAGCCGAACCTCTCGTGACCCGTGGGCCGTGGCTCCGTGCTCGTTCACCGTCCGCTTCGCCCGCATCCCGCCCACCATGCTCTGTCCGCCGCCCGCTCCACCCGCAGCTGGCCGCCGCTCCACTGCCGCGCTCGCCCACCGCCGCTCCGCCGGTGAAGAGAAAAGTGAAGAGGAGAAAAAAGATATGTGAAGCTGACATGTGGGTTCCATGGAAATTTTTTTTTTGCTGACTAGGATGCCACGTCAGTAAAATCGGGCAAAAATACTGCCAAGGGACCTCCGGTGAACGGTTTGAATGAATTTAGGGGCGAACATTTCTGATTTTGTGGTTGAGAGATATCGAAAAATCTCGCTATTAAGTTGAGGGATCTCCGGTGAACTTATTCCATCCCAAGTGAAAGTGACAATAGCACTAAAAGTGACGGGTCGGCCCGTCCTGCACCTGAAGTCCACAATGTATGTCATACCTTTTTTTCTCGAGGATAACCGGAGTTGTGCACGTCATTACTACTAGTATAGTAATAATAACGTATTTCTTCCGTAAAAAAATATATACGAAATTACCCCCTTAACTATTGCGTCGGTACGAATTACGTCCTTAAAGCATAAAACCAGACATTTGGCACCTCAAACTTTCTAAATCGAACGAATAAACCCCCCCCCCCCTAACTTGACCCATAGCAGTTTTGGATCATACGTGGCGCACACGTGGCGGTCCAATCACCTTTAAAAAAAATAGAAAATAGTGGGACCCATCTGCCAGATCTTCCTTTTCCTTCCTCTCCGCTAACTCCGGCACCAGGAGTTACGAGATTCCCCGCAGCGGCAAACGACATCGAGGGCGAGGTGGCAAAGGAGTAGATCGACGACGAGGGATGTCACCCGCCACCCGTCGGTGTCTCCTCTTCTCTTTTCTTCCACTTCCTCCCCCTTATCTCTTTCTTCTTTCTCTTTTTTTTCTTCAGATTTGTGCATCCTTTGACGCAGGACAAGCTAGCGAAGGATAGGGTGTGTGTGCGCGGGAGGTGGGGAGGGGCCATCCTCGCCGCTAACAACCAGTAGAGAGTGGGGGGACCTAGCACTACTTCACCTTGGCCAGATGACGTGGGCGTGGGGCTTGGGTTGCCATGGCATTTAGGTAGAGGAGGAGACGACAAGACAGGGAAGCACGGGAGGGAGAGTAATGGCGTACTTCGGGGTCGCCATCACCATCACCACCGCGCCCATGACAGAGACGGAGACGGAGACGAAGGGGAGGGCAGCAAGGTCGTCGCCGAGGAGGAGGTGGTGGCGTCTAGGGTGCATGTGCAGGCCGCAACGCTACTCCTCTCGGCGCCCGTTGTTGCCTCATTGGCGAAAAGAGAAAGAGAGAAGAGGAGAGAAGCTGACATGTAGTGCTCACAAACTTTTTTTAATAAAAATTGGTTGACTGGAGTGCCATGTGTAGGATAAAACTTTTCGAATTGAGTTAGGGGGTAATATATTCGGTTTACATAGTTAAGGGTGTAAAATATTTGGTTTTCGAGCTTAGGGGATAAACCGGACTAACACAATAGTTCAGAGGTAATTTGTTCTTTCTAGTATTATAAATTTGATATAATCAGTACAATAAATCTAGATAGAATTACCAACTGCCGAGCTCTGATTTTTTTTTCTTTTTGCCAAAGGTGGAGTACCAACTGCCAAAGGCATTATTTCCTGCACATTCCCAGTAACGAGAGGCTGTGCCGCTGTACGCGGTGCGCCACGGCAACACTACACAGTACCGTCATTCTATAGTAAGGGTGTGTTTGGATGGGAGGATTTGGGTTGATAGGACATGACGACCCTTTTTTTGGGTGTTTGGTTGCTGGGCGAAGACTGGATAGGATGGCTCGAAGGGGAATATTCCCCTCAGATTTTGGACAGAGGGATCTGGCCGAATCGGTCAGATGCGGCCACCCGAGCGACGGACGAGCTGGATGAGGGGTCGCGTCACCTCCATGGAGAGAGAAGGGGTGATGACGACGCCGATGCGTGCCCAGCGGCGACGACAAGGAGGAGGCGTTGCGGCCGACGAGCGCCGCGTCGGCAGTAGAAGGGTGCAGTGGCGAACGTCGCGGCGGCGGTCAGCGGCGAGAGTCACGTCGGCGGGAAGAGGGAATGGCGGTGAGCTCAGAGATCCGGCGCGGGAGATGAGCGCCGCTGTGATGACGATTAGAACGCGGCAACGGTTACAACGACGATGAGAACCCGGTGACGACGACGACGATGCGGGCGGCGAGCGCCGCGTCGACGGGAGGAGGCGGGGCGGGAGGAAGCAGCGGCGGGAAGAGGCGAGCGGCGGCCGACAGGAGGAGGCGGTCGGCGGGAGGAGAAGGCGGCAACGGTGAGCCCCAGATCCGGCCCTGTTTTTTTTTTCTATGTGTATTTATAATGGAGGTAGTGGTGTAAAATTGTATTATGTAATTTGATGGATTATATTCACCGTCTCAAGTGAGAGGTGACCACACCTACAAATCCACCCTACTCTCTTCGACCAAACAAAAAATTGGATCACCAAATCCACCTTCATTGTCCTTATAATCAAATAAAAAACTGGATCGTCATATTCACACAATCAAACAAAAAAACTGAACCGCAGTATCTAACAAAATATAGACCACTATATCCCATCAACTTTAACAGTGAACCAAACACACCCTAGACTGCAGCAAACTGCGCATGCCCCTGTGGCCTAGGCCCTCGTCCAAATAATCTACTGTGATCTTTCAGCCTGCGGCAGATGATGATGTGCCACTACTATTATATCAAGGCACCGAGATTCCTTCTGCAAATCCTGCGATTTCGCAGGCAGTATCCAAAGAACAAATGGGGCACAACAAAATCCTGTAGATTAAACCACGAGAAAATCAGCAGGGGAATGTTGCAAACGGAACATGCATCGTAGATTCCTTTTCCGAATGCATCAGATCAGTTCGTCCTTTGGCCATTGGGCTCGTTGCTCATTATTCACCATTTGACCCAAGCATTACCTGGAGGACTATAGTAGGGCTACCTCCGTCCTAAAATAAGTACAGTCATGGAGATCCGTGTCTAACGTTTAACCGTTCGTCTTATTTGAAAAATTTATAAAAAAACTAAAAAAAAGTCACCCATAAAGTACTATTCGTGTTTTATCATCTAATAACAACAAAAAATACTAATTACAAAAAAATTTTTAAATAAGACAAACGGTCAAACGTTGGAGATAAATAATGCAAAACTGTGTTTATTTTGGGATGGAGGAAGTACTTCTTTCATCCTATTATAAGATATCACACATCCTAATATAAATAACCGTTTGTTTAAACCTGTAATATGATGACACATCCGGTACTAGATAAACTTATTTTGAAATAGAGGTAGTATCTCGTAAATAGTTCATCTCTAATTGGTTGATCTACTGCTGATAAGTCCACTAAACACTAAATGATACAACTGAAATAAATTGTTGGCAATTATTTTTTATTATACTATTAATAGTTCAAATGCCAATGGTGGAAAGTAGAATATGATTAGAGAAACACAATTAAGTACTATGTCTCGAGTTTAAATTTTAACAGCAATGACTGATAGAAAAAAAAGGCAAACAATGAAAGCCACATGAAACAGCAAAACACAAAAACAACATGTGCGTGCACAAGAAACGCACATCGCAACACGAGATGGTCGTTTTTCTGCCCCGTCCTATTGTGCAGAGAGGACACGGCGCCGCGTTGGAGCGCACAGCACATGATCCAACTCCAGTTCGGAGTGAGCTGCGAAGCAGTAGTACACAGTACGAACGGGACAGGGCAGGCAGAGGCAGTTTCAGCGCCTTCTCCCAATTTTTTTTCAAGAAAATCCAAGAAATATCATCGACGAGAAATACTATCAACAAACCTAACTTAGAAATGCTATCATACAATATTTTTGTCTCAAAAATACCATAACCGTTAGGTTTTTGGTGAGAACGTTCCGTTAACGTTGTAAAAAGACCATTTTACCCCTATAAACTGTTAAAAGTTTTAAAACTATCTATCCGTTAGTGTAGGTTGCTCTTTACATATCGTAAGTTGACCGAAATGCAAAAAATTTAATCAACTTTCAACAATTCATGGGAGTAAAATGGTATTTTCATATACAGAGAGTTGCTAATAGAAACCTAACGGCAATGGTATTTCTGGGGCAATAGGAATTTTACAAACCTTGAAAAAAATACCTTGAAGTACCCAAATTTTTACAATAAATTTTTTAGTACCATAAGATTAATACCTAGATGTACTAAATTTTACACTAGAAAATATGATACCTCCAGATATCTTCTAAAGGATGGTAAAATTAACTCTAGGACAAAAATGTTTGTATAATGGTATTTTATGAAAGATTGATTCGTTAATGACTCTTGGAGTTAATGATATCTCTTGGATTGGGTGTTTGTCAATGGTATTTTATGGATTTTTTTTTGGTTGATATGGAATGAGGAAATGTGAAAATCCATTGTCGCATTTTGATCGGCCTTGGATGCGACTGGGCATCCAAAGAACAAATCAACACGGACATATCCAAGCTCAGGAGAAAGAAGCAGTAAACTACTCTGATCCACTCGACCACTCGTAGACCCACCCCCAACAACTCTGCCGGCTGGCCTCCAAGAGATCTCATGGAAAAAGTGCCGTCTTTTGTAGCAAGTGAACAAAGAAAATATCCTTGCTCCTCTAATTTCAATTACAGGTCAGCAGTTTTGGCACTCTCAGATTCTTTTCTAAAGAATTTATTTGCACCCTTTTCACATTTGTTTTTTACCATAGGATTTGAACCTCTTGTTCTTCTATATTTTCCCCTTTTCCAGAATGAATCGTTTTCTTAATCCTTATGTACAAATTTAAAACAACTCACATTAAGTATGAGAAGATGTGGTATACTCCACTTTCAAACTGCTACTCAACCACCAAGAGAATCAGCACATTCTCACTAGGACACTACAAACAGAGGATCAGATCAAGGAAGCACATGCTCAGAGCTTCAGATTACCAGACGAAGTATAAAACTCCTACAATGCTACTACTACTACCTCATATGATTTCACAAGCTAAATCCTTATTGCCGGAGAAAACTACTAACTCAAGAGGAGGCACCTACTAAGCTAGCACTAGTAACTAGTAGTAATACAGGCATCAAGAGGGTAATTAAGGACATAAAAATGAAGACAAAGAAAAGTTTTCTTTTTTTTTTTGGTTCAAGAAAGCTCCTTTCTTGCACTGCATCATCCCCGCCGTGAAAAGTGCCATGGAGATGTCACCAAACAGGGAAATTTTGAACCTTTCCCTTTTCCCTCCTTTCACTCTCACTCTCACTATCACTCACTCACTCACTCAGCTGTTTCTTGGCCTCCGTCTCCTCGTCCTGTCCGTCCTCGCCGCCGCCTTCCTTGGGGCTCTCCAATGCCCTCTTCTCCTCCTCCTCCTCCTCCTCCTCGTTGTCGCCGCCGCCGGTCGCGTTCCCGGCCGCCGCCGACGGCGGGCGCTTCTCGGCGCGCGCCTTGAGCACCTCGAGGAGCTGTTCCATGGCTTGCTCGCGCCCGTTCCTGCGGTTCTTGATCAGCACCTCGCTCACGTCCGCCGGCGTGATCTCCGCCGCGTCGATCCACGTCTCCAGCCCGGCCATGGTGGCGGCGGCTGCAGCGGAGGAGGAGGAGGCGGAGGAGTCGTCGTCGAGGTAGTTCCGGAGGAGGATCTTGAGCGCCGGGAACGTGCAGTAGCTCATGAAGATGTGCATGTCCATGCGGCCGGAGCGGAGCAGCGCCGGGTCGAGCTTCTCGATGTGGTTGGTGGTGAAGACGAAGATGCGCTCCGAGCCGCAGCACGACCAGAGGCCGTCGGTGAAGTTGAGCAGGCCGGAGAGCGTGATCGACCGCGCCGCCGCGCCGGCCGGCGCCGCCGCCGCGTCCTGGTCGATCGCGCCGCCGTCGATGCTCGCCCGCGGCTTCGGCGGCTGCGCCGCGGCCGCGGCGGTGGCGCGGTTGGTGAGGTCGACGGAGCAGTCGATGTCCTCGATCACGATGATGGACTTGGAGGTCGTCTTCATCAGCAGCTTCCGGAGCTCGGCGTTGCTGCCGACCTCGGTGAGCTCGAGGTCGTACACGTCGTAGCCGAGGTGGTTCGCCATGGCGGCGATCATGCTCGACTTGCCCGTCCCGGGCGGGCCGTACAGGAGGTAGCCGCGCTTCCACGCGCGGCCCGTGCGCTCGTAGAACGCGCTCCCGTCGGCGAAGTCGCGGAGGTCGGCCATGATGGCGGCCTTGCGCTCCGGGTCCATGGCGAGCGTGTCGAACGTGCTGGGGTGCTTGAACGGGACGGGGTCCCACGGCAGGCCGCGCGCGTCCATGGCGCCGCCGCGCGCGTTGGTGTAGAGCAGCCGGTCCTGGCTGCGGCGCCGGATGTCCGCGGCGGCGGCGAGGATGTGGTCGAGGTACGCCGGGAGCAGAACGCCCCGGTCGCCGCGGCGGATCCGGAGCGTGAACCGGCGCTTCTCCTCGGGGAGCGGGCGCCACGAGAAGCCCTGCGCCTGGCGCGGCGCGACGACGTGCTCCCACGTGACGGCGGCGCCGCGGAAGGCGTCGAGCACCCGGTCGCTGGCGGCGAGGCCGAAGGTGAAGGACGACGCGTTGTGGGGGCGCGACAGGGTGAGCCTGGCCCCCGCGGCGGGCGCCGCCGAGCTGCTGAGGTAGAGCTGCACGGCGTCGTAGATCTCGTTGGTGCCCATCCCCTCCGTCTCCGTCACGTCGAAGTAGCAGTAGGGCGAGAAGGCGCGCGTCGCCCGCCCCAGCAGCCGCGCCACCGCCGCCCGGAGCTCCGCCGGGAACACCGCGTGCACCACCCCCTGCAAGAACGCCACCGCGCCCATCAGCGACGCCAGCGACGTCCAGTACTCCCTCATCTCTCCTCCTCCTCTCCCCTCCACAATGCAATGCAACAAGAAAATCTCGAGGATTTTGGAAGCGAAGAGGAGGAGGAAGACGATGATTTATAGGCGAAGAAGCCGGAGACAACGCAAGGCAAGGTCGCTATCAACGGAGAGAGACGACAGTTTTTTTCTTCTTTTTTTTCTTGAGAAATTATTGGCAGGGAGAAAGGATGGATGGATTCTTGATGCAGTTGCAGTTGCAGTGTGATTGAGTGCGGCAGAGATGGATGGAGACAAAGATGCAGATTAACACATGATGGAGAGATCTCCTGGATTGAGTTCAGAGTTCACAGTTGAGAGAGAGAGAGAAACAGGGGAGATCTTGCTCGGTTTGGACTGCGAGGGTGGAGAGGAGATACGCTGATACTCCCCCGTCCCTTTATACAAGGCATTTTAATTTTTAATATTTTGTTTGCATTTTTTTTTGACTGTTTGTCTCATTCAAAAAATTTATATAAATATAAAAAATAAAAATTGTGCTTAAGTATTTTGGATAATAAAGTAGCCACAAATAAAATAAATAATAATTTTAAATTTTTTTAATAAGACGAATGGTTAAACAACGCAAACAAAATGTTAAAATAGGAACGGAGGGAGTATGAACTACTAGTACATTGTAATGATGCTACTGTACAATCCTTTTGGCAGAGGGTTCAATTGGTGCAAGGCTCCCGTTGAAATAGAGTAGGAAAAGGTTTTTTTTTTTTTTGGAGGATTCAACTTTCTAAGGACTTTTATTTTGAGCCCCTTGATTCAGAATAAGAAGATAGAGAATTTTCTATAGAATTATAATCCTATGACCAATTGCATAGAAAAAATAACCAAAAGGTTAGATCTCTTGGAAGACTTTCCTTTGATTTATTTTCCCTGAGGTGTAATCAAAAGGCTCATCTTTCTGTTAGCTCTGCCTTTTAATTTCCGTAGAATTGAAAGAGCGTGCTACTTCAATTCTTACCTTTTTTTTGTTTTATGTTCGTTGCATTTTTTTTTCGGTCCAGTGTTTTAATACTCGTTTTTTCCCTAGGTGGCTGACACCGTGGGCTTGGACTCTTGGACCATGGATTCTTGGGAGTTCCCTTTTTTTTTTTTTTGGTATCAAGATTCTTGGGAGTTGGAAGGCACTCAACCATGAACAGTTTAGGTGTCCCAATGAGATGCACAATTGCACAATACACATACTATTCTTAAGGCCTCCTATAGGTTGGTCTTCAAACGATCTTAATGGTTTTCATCAGTTCAGTTACTGCTAATAGAAAAATGAACAAAGCAATAAAAAAAACTTTTGCATCTGAGTTATGAGGGATTTAAAAACCAAGGCTGAAAACCAGAGCACAATTCATAAACCAAAAATAAACTCTAAATGTAAGTTTAAAAATCAAAATTTTGCTGATAAGGCACTGTTTAGTTCCCACGCAAAAACATTTCACCATGTCACATCGAATGTTTGAGCACATGTATGGAGTATTAAATATAGTCAAAAAAAATAAAACCAATTACACAGATTGCGTGTAAATTGCGAGATGAATTTTTTAATCCTAATTGCTCCATGATTTAATATTGTGGTGCTACAATAATCATTTGCTAATGACGGATTAAATAGGCTTAATAAATTCGTCTCGTAGTTTACATGCGGAATCTGTAATTTATTTTGTTATTAGTCTACGTTTAATACTTCAAATATGTGTACGTATATCCGATGTGACACGCTAAAACTTCTCACCCTGGAATCCTATCTTAGTATAAAGTTATCCCCCACTAACTCCTTAAGCTTAACATTCAAAGATGCCACATCATCATCCACTAACAAGATACCACATCATCATCTACTAATTAACAAGATGCCATATCATCATCCACTAACAATCATCACATTTAAACATCGTGCAAACATGCTATATCTTTATAGTTTTTATAATTTAAGAGCTTTTCAAATACAAACATGTTAAATTATCATCCAACATAATTCACATAATGTTTCAATGTATATCTTTATTATGTTTTATGATATCCTATATACTTATATATAGTTCATCCTCACTTAGTTAGTGCTTAAATGATTAATCTATGATCCAAATTATATTTCTCCTTTTTTCCTCTAATTAAGTCATATCACATCAATTTTTTTTAGCCTTTAGATGATTAATCTACAGTCTAAACTATCTCCCTACTTTATCTCTTCCATAAAGTCATACCACCTTACTTTTTACGTTTGAATCACTATTCTACATCCTATTTAAATTTAAATTATCATAAACCACATTAGTTTATATAATATGATGTTATCTAGCTATCTTACCCGTTATTTTTTTATTATTATCATACTAAATTCCCGCAGCAATGCGCGGGGTTTCACCTAGTTAAACAGGGCCTAAGCCAACAAGCAGACGGTGTAAACCGTTAATAGTTTTATATAAAAAAAATGTACAAATAACCTCAGTTGTCAATTCCGGTAAGGGAGATTGATATGTACAGTGGAGTACCTTGCTTGGGGGGATATTGCAAAAATTGCTTTACTATATAATATTCCTTTTCTGAAACTATTTTTTTTTACTTTTCATTCAACCGCTCTGAACAGACCAGTACAACATTGGATTCTTTTTGGAAAGAAATGGGAGTTTCTTCACCATGAAAGTAAAATGGTCGGTTTACCTTATTTTGAGAAAATAGTACTACTAATGGCTGAATAACAGGTCCCAAGTTCACACGCATCCACACTGTATTTCACAACTCACAAGCCATGCATGTCTCCGTCAATCTCTCTCTGGCATTGTGTTTAGGGGTGCGCAGAAAAAGACCGAACCAAAAAACCGAACCAAAAAGACCGAGATAGAGACCGAAAAGACTGAGACCGAGAAATTCGGTCATCAATTCGGTCCTAGGTAGTGAAAGACCGAATTTTGTTCGGTCAATTCGGTTAGTCTCCTCGTGTAACCGAATAGACCGAAAAGACCGAATTATCAAAAATGTCTAGATGCAACCTCAATCCACTATGTTTAATAGGATTAAACTCTAATTTTCACATTCCTACTTCTTCTAGGCATGCAACCTAATAAGAGTCTTTACTTATAAGTGTTTACGGATCTTTTTTGTGATTTTTGTGTTGAAAATTTCCATTATTTCTTTGCATATATGAAAATGTTGTTGAATTTCGGTCAGGACCGAGACCGAGACCGAGACCGAATTTGTCGGGCCTGACATTTTTGCGCTGAAATTCGGTCTTCACTTTTCAAAGACCGAAAAGACCAAAAGAGCGAAGACCGAGACCGAAATTTTCAGTTAGACCGAATGCCCACCCATAAATTTGTGTTTGCATGCGGGGGTGTTTAGATACATGGGTGTAAAGTTTTGACGTGTCACATCAGGTATTATATAGGGTGTTGCATGGGGTGTTTGGGCACTAATAAAAAACTAATTATAGAATCCGTCAGTAAACCGCGAGAAGAATTTATTAACCTAATTAATTCGTCATTAGCAAATATTTACTGAAGCACCACATTGTTAAATCATAGAGCAATTAGGCTTAAAAGATTTGTCTCGTAAATTAGTCGTAATCTGTGCAATTAGTTTTTTTAAATCTATATTTAATACTTTTATTAAACGTTTGATGTGGCAGGGTGAAAAATTTTAGGATGGGATCTTAAGAGCAAGTTTAATAGTATAGCCCACTACTAGCTCCAAATCATCTATAATCAATGTAATAGCCAATTCATACAATAGTTAGTTATTATACTATTAATACCTAGTTACACCTGTCATATATATTACGTCTTAAAGTTCGTGCTGCAGCTGGCTATAGATCTGTAACCCGCTACTCTTCTCTCTATTTTTTTTTTTTGCCCGCTATTGTACCTGCTCTAAACAGGCCTGCAGTCAATTCAGCTACTGCATGTACGACAAAAGATAATATTTGGCGACAAAGATTGCACCGACTCGTTGTGGACTGTAAATGAAAGGTACTAGTACTACCTTCCTGCTTCCTGCAATTTTCAATGCCTAGTTGTGCCTTGGTAGTTTGCCGTTGTCTCATTTCGCTAATATTGCTACTACCATTTCAGAGTTTAGTAGTAGTAGTACATTGCAACTCGCACGAGTGGTAATCATTCCGTGGGCACACGTTAGGGCATTAGCAATGCAGCTACCGCACTTGCCGTTCCTGAGCTGCCACCTAACCCAAGTCCTTTGAGAGTCACACACTCCACAGTAGAGGAGGAGGATAAGGCTAGGACCTTCCGTGTCTCTGTTGCTCTTTCTCATCACTTATCATCTCTCAACCCCTCTCTCTCTCTCCTCTCTACATGTACCGGCGGCGGGGCGTCCCGAGGAGCGGCGGTGGCTCTGGGTGGCATCGGCGCTAGGTGGCGGGGTGGCCCAAGCCACGACGACACCGGGCGGCGGTGGCAGGGCGTCCCGAGCGGCGGCGGTGGCACCGGTCGGCGTTGGCGCTAGGTGGCGGGGCGGCCCAAGCCGCGATGGCGCCGGACGCCAGGCGGCGAGCGGGTCGAGCGGCGGCGGCGGCGCTAGGTGGCAGGGTGGCCCGGGCGGTGGCGAGCGGGTCGAGCGGCGGGACGGCCGGAGCCGCGGCGGCACTAGGCGGCGGGGCGGGTCGAGCGGCGGCGGCGCCAGGTGCGGGTTGAGCGGCGATGGCCCGATGCCTGCGCCAAGCCACTCGTGTTTTTTGGTTCCAAGAACGAGTATCGAAGTTTGGCTCCGAGTACCTCGTTTGGCTCCGCGAGTTGCCGATGTGGCATCGAATAATCGGTTCTTGGCTGCTAGGCTGAACGCCACCTCGGTGCGTTGTGAACGCCCTTATGGCCCTTTGGAAACGTACCATAGAAGAAAACATGGTATAAATAAGTGAAACAGAAGGATCGAAATAGCATGTTTTTCTTAAGAGCGATGTTCCGGTGTTCTCTACTGTTAGTATTATATTACCAGTATTATTAGGGATAAATCAGTAATTTACTAATACAATGATTAGGTTATTTTATCATTTATGTTTTTTCCTGGCTAAATCGATCTATGAGCACCCATTGTGTTGGTATCGCTTATATTCCATTGAAAAAACCAAAAAAAGGGAAAAAGGTTTAGTCATGGCTAAAAGATGATTATACCTCTCCCATCTTTTTTTACAATAATTTTCCTCCGTGTTTTACTACCGCTAACTGTGGTAATACTATAAATAGATCCGAACCGTTCGATTAAATAACATCAATAGTTCAGATTGCTTTCTACTCACTGCATTGGATCACGTCATCTCTAATGGGCTCATGCCCTTACCTGTGATGGGTTAAGCGTTGGTCACAGATCAGTGGTCACTGATGCCTCTAGGTCACCTGTGACGAGTAAAGACCCATCAGAGGTAAGAGTTACCTTTGACGGACTACAACTAAAATCCGTCACAT